GCCGCCGGGGGAGTATGTTTTTGTACGGCCTTGTTCATATTGCTGTACCATTCGGCCACCATTATAGTCATGCGAATGGGTATGAGATTACGCGCCGCTTCCTCTACTCTTATTTATAAGAAGGTATAAAATTTTATAAAATTGGTCATGGTCAATTTACATGCCTTTTGTAATTAGTCGCTTAAACTGAGCCGGGCATCCCTGGCCAAAACCACAGTGGGCCACATTGTGAACCTAATGTCTAATGATGTCAGTCGATTTGATGAGGTATGGGCTATATTTGAGGCACTGTAATAGTAAATGGATTTTATTAATAATTTGTTATTTTTAAATACAGTTTTCAAAAAATGTCAGCTATTTACTCTTAGCGCCCATACAGACAGGAATCGCCGTATATATCATATATACGGAGCTCAGTTACTATTGCTTCGTAGGTTTGGCCCTTTTATTGCTGTTTATACTGTTTCAGGCATTTATGGGCAAACTTTTCTCGAAAGTCAGGTTTGAGTGGAATTTGTGACACAACTGGCGGTCAATATGTTTGGTCCAATAATTAGTTGTTTTTGTTTTCAAATCATAGGCTAATGACCGCTCAGTTAACGGACAGTCGACTGCGACTAATGAATGAAATTATATCGGGGATGCGAGTCATCAAAATGTATGCCTGGGAGCAGTCCTTTGCCAAACTGGTGGCCACCGCTAGAAAGTATGTCCTTGATACTATAGTTATACTTAATAACCTTTTAAAACTTGTATGCAAAAATTATACTGGTAATATTTTTTAAAAATGCGATACACTTTGCGATAAGGTGGAAAGTTGGAAACTCAATGATAAATAACAATTATAAATGAATAACCTAGGATATTTACTAAAAATAGGAATGAGGTCCGTGGCATACAAAGGGCCCATTTTCTAAATGCTATCAATTTGTCGGTATACTTGGCGGCCCCCCGTATAATACTGTTCGCGTGTTTTATGGCATACGTGTTAAACGGGAACCTATTGACCGCAAAAGCGGTGTTCATCACAATGGCTCTGTTCAACACTCTTAGGACTACTTTGATGATACTGTTTCCCTACGCCATCGCCCAATGGGCTGAACTGACGGTGTCGTGCTCTCGCATCCAGGTATTCATTCATAAGCAATAAAACTGCTAAAATGAATAGAGATTTTAAGTTTTGTACTTAAAATACTTAAATAGAAACTATTAATACATAGAATACTTGTAGATACTATTGTATACTGTATGATACTATATGATGCTAATTAGATAATCAATGAACACGCTTAATACAATCAATATTAGTACAGTATTTGCAAATATTTAATTAATTACAAGAATATATCTCGGTTACACTTGTATTAATTAATTAGAATATATAAAATATTATCTAGACATTCTTGGAATTGGGGGAAATAGAGCCTAAAACATATAACACTAAAGGTTTTGGTGATTTAGCTGCCTTTTCCAAAACAAATACCAAACCAAAAGTTATTGTCAATAATATATCCGCCAAATGGAGTGAAGTATGAAATATAGTAAACATTTTAATATTTATACTGTACTAGCTAATATTTATTATATGTAATCAGGGCAGTCCTTATGCAACCATTCAAAACATTTCATTCAATATAAAACCTGGGGATCTATTAGCGGTGATTGGACCGGTAGGTTCGGGAAAGGTATTTTTGTGTTGATTATTGAATAAATAAATTTAATGATTTAAATTATTTTATAAATTATTTTTATAGAGTTCACTAATCATGTCTTTACTTAATGAGCTACCGGTGCTCGAGGGAAGTATACAAACAGTGGGCACCATTAGCTATGCCTCTCAGGAGGCCTGGAGTTTAAATAATAGCGTCAGAAATAACATACTGTTTGGAAGTGAATACGATGAGCACCGGTATAGACGGGTAGTCCATGTTTGTGCTCTGGAAAGGGATCTCCAGATATTCCCCTTCGGAGACAAGACATTAGTCGGAGAGAAAGGGGTTTCATTATCGGGTGGACAGAAGGCTAGGATCACTTTGGCCCGGTATGGCATTTACGGCACCGGTAGTCTATACGACAATCCTATTGACTAAAACAATGCATTCTTTGCAGAGCTTTGTATCGCAACTCAGAT